GTTGTTAACCAATGTCCTAAAACAACATGTGTACTACTGTTTCATGAGAAACTATTTGTTCTGTAAGCCTTCACCTGAAGTACAATAAAAAATAATAATAATTAAAAAAAAAAGAACCCTAACAGGAAAAAAAAAATACTGGAAACAATCAAGATGTCCTTCAATAGATGAATGAATTAACAAATCGTGGTGCATGCATACAGTGGAATACAATCAAGCCATGAAAAGACACGGAGAAAGGAGAAACCTTACATGCATATTGCTAAGTGAAAGAAGCCAATCTGAGAAAGTGACATACTGTATGACTCCAACTATGGACATTCTAGAAAAGGCAAAACTATAGAGTCAGTGAAAAGATTAGTGGTTGCCAGAGGTTTAGAGAGAGGGGGAAGGGATGAATGGGTGTATCAGGGGCATTTTTTAGAACAGTGAAACTATTCTGTAGGTTACTGTAATGGTGCACACAAGACATTATGCATTTGTCAAAACCACAGAAATATACAACACAAAGAATGAACCCTAATACAAACTATGCATATGCACTTTAGTTAATAATTATGTATCAATATTGGTTCATCAGTTGTAACAAATGTACCACAAGAATGCAAGATGTTAGTAACAGGTAAAATAGTGTGCAGGCTTCTCCCTCTGTACCTTCTGCACAATTTTCCTATAAATATAAAACTGTTCTAAAAAATAAAGTCTATTAAGGGCAGCTTCTTTCAGGAGGTGAGATTAGAAGGCAGAGAGGGTTAGGAGCTGGCTGAATGGACATGGGAAATCCGGGGTGGAAAGGAGGAGTGTGCTGTCACAGTATAGGGAGAACAACTAGGGTCACGCAACAATGTATGTATAAATTTTTGTGTGAGAGACTAAGTTGAATCGTAAACTTTCACTTAAACTACAACTATAAAAAAAAGTAAAAAAGAAAGTCTATTAAAAAATTTAGATGAATGGATAAATAAAATGTGGTAGATACAATACATACAATGGAATATTATTCAGCCATAAAGAAAAATGAAGTTCTAAAACATGCTGTGACATGGATTAATCTGGAAAGCATTATGCTGAGAGAAATAGTCACAAAAAAGCACAAATACTGTATGATCCCACTTATGTGGATATCTAGAACAGGCAAACACACAGAGGCAAAAGTTTATTAGTGGTTAGAGGAAGGGGAGAATGACGACTTATTGTTTAAGGGGTACTGAGTTTCTGTTTGGAGTGAGGAAAAACATTTGAAAATGGAGAGTGGTGACGGCTGCACAACATGGTGAATGTAACTAATGTCACTGAATTATACATTTAAAAATGGTTAAAATGGCACATTTTTTGTTATAGGTATTTTACCACAACGATTTTAAAAAAAAGAAAAAATTGATTGGGAGATCCAGGCAGAGGTACTAAGGCACCAGTGTGCAGACTGTTGGAGGTTAGAACAAAGAGTGTGTGTGTGGAGGGGGCTGGTGTACGGCAAGAGAAAAAGGGCAGGATGTGTCAGACTGCGGAGAATGCCACGTGAGGAGTCTAAACTCTAGACAATTGAGAACAGCCAAGCCTTCTAAACTGGTGAGTAAGCTGATCAGATCGTGCTCCCGGCAATGCCCTGATGCTATTCCAATTCCCAAATACCATTAATAATTTATTCTTTGATGAAAAATGTATTTAAATGCAGGTTTTTACCTTGTA